GGTTATCAGAGGTCAAAAAGAAAATGCTTGGATATTTTACATTGTAGACAACTATCATATAGTTCTCAAAAACATTACGCGAAAGTTCTTGCCTAATAGAAAATTTCTCATTATTAGATACATGTTAATTCACCAACCCTTTGAGATGAACAGATTAAAATGGTAATGATTTTAAATGTTAATCATAATCACATACTTTTCTGCTTTGCTTCAGTTTCTTTGAATCATTTTCTTCATGTTTTTCACGAATCGAATATGCACCATCTCTATGGCCGGAGCTAGCCTTTTCTGTGTCAAGTACCACCGCAGCATTTTCGCCATCTCTTCCCCGTTTTCTTTTATCTTCTCCGCGTACTGATTCATTCGTATTCTGGTGTTCAAATGTTTCAACACTATCGATCATATTGACGTCTTGCTGATTGTTTTCAAACGATTCCTTCCCCTTTCTTGGGGGCTTAGGAGGGGCCTCTTTCTGCTCAAGTTGCATTCTTTCTTCCTTGGCGTGCCTGTGTTGCTTCTGGCTAGCTTCGCTTTTCAATCGGCTTCCATTTTGAATATTTTGCTGTAAGTTTAAGAAAATGGTCATTAATACTTGTGAACCTTCTTTTATGTGGATTTGCATCAAAAATTGCCAGTCTAACTTAGTAGCGGAAGCTATGAGGCAAATAACATCTTCTAAATTCAACTTGGCAAGACAAGAAACTCGGAGTACTTCACTGAAATAGTTCCAGCATCTCCGTTACTGGAACCCTTCTCGACTTTTCAATTTGGGAGAAAATTTTCCTTTTTGTAGTTGAAGATAGAGAGGCTTAGCAGAAAAAGAGTTTGAATGGGACCAAAGCCCTGTACGCGTAATAAAAATCGTTTAAAGTCATAGGGTAGTTAAAATGAAAAATCGGCTGAAACATCAGGCAGTTGGCAAGAGTATGTGCCACTATCAGAAACGATGGCCTAGAATTAATATGAAAGAAGCTTTACATAGAGAGGCACGATAGTTGGGCTAGAATAAGAATGCGAATTTGTCTTTTGTCAATTACTTTGAAGTACCAACAGGTACTAGGGAAAGGACATTTGGTGAAGAAACAACAGAGGAGATTCTGTGAATGTCTCTGAATGACAAGAAGAAACACAGTAACCCCTGATAAATTGAACATTTGCTAAGTCGAACCGATATTGGATAGCGCTTACCATGATGCAATTAAGAAAGGTGGAACAAAGTAAAAAATTCACCTTTTGCTCGACAGTCTTTCTGTCCTGTGTCACCTTCTTCTCTTCCCTGGGTTTAACCTCTGCAGCCTTCGCTTCGACATTTTTCGCCTTTGGCAGTTCTTCTCTCACAAGATCACGCGTTTTTGCGTTCAGATTAGAATCGATCTTTTTCAAGCTTTGCTCCTGGTATGGGCTTTTGATAGCCTTCCTTTTCTTGGCTATTTCCTTTGCAAAGCCCGACATGTCTTCGTCCGCACCATAATTACTGTAAACACTGTCTCTTTTTTGGCCTAAATAACCAAATGAAAAGTAATGTTAACGGGCAAAAGGAAAAGAAATAGACCATTCAAGGTATCAATATACTTAAGTTTAATGTTTAAGGTTTAATGAGACGAGAAATAACTGCACTTCGGGTCCTAAAATTGAGAAACTGCCTAGATTTCATGAAAGTCTTTAGCTGATGGCGGTGTTTCTGGAACATTGGTGAAAATGAAATAGCAATTAACGAATCACAATGATTCGAAATAAGAATACTCAAAAAAATTACGGGTAGGGAGAGAGGGTGAATACAAAGCGGTGTCTGGGGTTTACTCGTCTGGAGTAAATGGGGGGCTGAATAATAAAAAGAGGCCATCTTAAGTAGGCAAAAAATGACAATAAAGCCACTTTCTAGTAGGGTCTTAAACATGAAAACTTTAAAAGCCAGACACGTCAGTTCTCACCAACCCACTGTCTATATAAGGCTCCTCCCTAAATATTTATTAAGTGATTATTCGATGAACCAAATTCATTCTTACGACTTCGACAAAAACTAAGACTGAGAGAATTTGTTTTTTTCGTTGTTTTGATTTAATCTTCGGAAGATCGACCAAAAAACAGCGCAGTTGGGCACTGTATTTCCTGGTCTTTCGGCAAAACAACGCAGGAGATACTTTGAAATGAGCTCGTAATCTCTGCGTCGAGAACAGCGGATCAACAGAGACAGCAAGAATTCTATGCATCCATTAACAGAAAAACGTGCGGAAGCCGAGCAAAGTTCTTAAGTGTGGTGTCATAAAAACATGTTTTGAAAATTTTTGACTGTTGTCCATAAGCACATTTACTTATAAGATAACCTTAATTTTTCTGAGCCTCGATATTCTTACAGATTTGTGATTTTGAGCTTGAACATAAATAACATAAATATTCCACGTGCTAAACATTCTTCAAAGCAAGTTGATTACTCAGTCCAATATGATGTTGTTTGCAAAGAATACTTTAACGATCACTAAAGCCAAAAGGTGAAGCAAAAAAGTGATCATTTTTGTAGGTATTTATAACCATGATGCAAGCAAGTATCTTCATAATGGATATAAGTATTATATCATTTATCAATGTTTAAAGGAAACAACGACGGCTGTATAAACCAATAATAACCTGTAATGTGATGACCGATTTTTCTTTTCCTAAAACTTAAATATCGAATCTCAAGGAAGCTAAAATCGAATTAAGTTTTAGTGTAGAAAGAAAATATCAATGAAACACGTGTGCTCAAAAAGTAAAATATGTGTGTAGATATCATATCATAAGTGAACGTTCTTTGCAAAAATCCTGACTGTATGTCACGAAAGCGGCTTAAAAACTGAATAGGGGATCATAGCCTTGGGTCATTGTAGAAGCTGTCCGATTATCGCAGCGGTGACATCCGCTTATTACGAATAACTAGTGAAAGTCCAGATAATGGCAGACAGCTACTTTAAAGGCATTTGACACAATTAAAAGTGGCTTACAGCCACTCGACCACGAGCAGTTGCCATCAAATTGCGCACAGAGAAAAACACGTGAACAGTTTCTGCCTATCTGCAAATCAGTGAAATCCTAGAGCAGCGCTCAGTGGTTTCATTTGAGCAGTTTCCAATTCCTTTTTTATGTGCGCGTGTTCTGACCAATTTGGCCAAAGTTATTTTTGGATTAACTGCACTTATGCATGTCAAATGCCTTTAAGGATGTTCCTTTTAAGACTCTAGATGACAATGGAGAATGTTTAGGTGTTGAGAAGAGACAATTGGTCTCCGATCAATTTTTTCAAGAAAACAGTCATTTCATAAAACCTGCATTTTTTTAATGTCAAGATATCAGCATTTATTCACCTTGTTTGTTTTCATTGACCTGTGGTGAATCACCAGTTAGATAATCCATAACATCCCATGATGCTTTGTTGTATTCCACAGCACTAGGCACTTGTGCTTCACCCTCATTGGCAGCTCTTAGAATTGAAGAGATGTCAAAAGGGTTCTCGTCGGAATTATAATCAAAGTCACATGATACATCCCCGTTGTTGATTGCTTCCAGTTGTGGGGTCAGTGGAGTTTTCACTTCACTCCTGTTATTACCAGGCTCTTTCATAGTACTTGTCTTCTGCAGCTTTGTTGACAACCTCTTAGATGGACTTCTGCTTGCTGACTTTTCCTCTTCCGATCTATGTGACTTCCGCGTGGCTTTTGTGTCACTACTTTTGTTTGGAGAGGCATAGGAACGACTTTCATTTGCCTTTGACGATGTCTCAAAAATTGCCAAACGATCACTGATAGAGCCACTCTAGAAATCAGTATTTAAACAATATTATAGCTAAATGAAACTATAGCTAAAAAACTGTCAAATTTCTGTGGCAATATCAAACAATGACCAAATGAGTCTTGATTCGAATCTTCGAATAAGCCATTTTTGTGGATTTTACATGAGGGTTTGAGTCACAAATGTACAAAAGATAAAAAATTCTGCTTTGAAGAACAAAATGGCTTTAATTTGTCTGTAGACTGAGTAAAATACTTAATGACTCTATGCACCAGGAGAACTTACAGACCCTAATGAAACCATCAATTGATATCACAATCAAAATACATCTAAATATGCAAAATCAGTGAAAAGTGTTAAAATATGGACGAGATACTGCCAATGAAAGAATTTATGCATATTAATCTATGACTAATTTTTTTTGGACCAGTTTTAAAACTTATAACCAAGAGCACCTTGGAGAAGCTTAATGGGAAAAAAGCATGTGCTCATGTGGCTATCTAACAGCAAATCTATAGCAAATTTGAAAATGTGTTACCTTTCCCTTTGAATCTCTACTGGTACTTCCTCTAGATGTAACATCTTTTCGTTCACAAGAATTAGCTCTACTCTGGCTTGAAAACTTAGACATTCTTTCCTATAAACAATCCAAAAAAAAATATGATAGTGTGGAAATTTGTTTACACACACCAGCTAAAAATATTCAAATATATTATATACTTAAGACTCTATGGTAGGAGACAAAATAATTCAAGTTTAACATTGCAAGAACTTTCCATTAACTTAAACTACCTGGGATTTCCAAAAAAGTTTTCAAAGGGTTTTAGAAAAAATGACAAAAACATGTAACAACAAAGATAACTTGCTCAAAATTTTACACTTGAATTTTACCTGAACAGATATGTCTTCTACATTAACATCATTATTTTGTTTTCCATGTTTTTTTGCATCACTCATCTCATTTCTTGAAGATGTGAAAATCTGAGATTTTCTTCCACTGTCAAGAATCTCTTCAAGATCTTTCCCTGGGCTTCTTCCTTCTCTATAATTTCGGCGATGAGGAGTGGATTTCTTTTCTGAGCCTCTGTCAGTTCTTGGTTTGGCAACAGGTGGCTAAAATTTACAGAGTTCTATCAACATGTTTCCCAAAAGGCATAAACTTTATCGTAAAATTGTTCATTGTACATTGTCAGAAGCAAACATATTATGGAAAAGAAGCTACCCTCAATTAGAAGTTACAGTTTTGGTAAATAGAAATAGAAAAATAATCTTCTTTCTTCATATCTGCCTTATGACAACACAGAAACTGCCACGGAATGAAATTTCAAAACACTTCATCCATTTCAAAGCAAATTTGGATGCAGTGGCTTAAAAGCAATAGAAATTTTCCAAAAAAGTTAAGGTTATAAATATGGCAAAGAAGCTCTGGCTTCTGTTAAACCAAATCTGGTGTAAATATATACTTTCCAAAACAAAAATACTTTGATACTCAAATAATATAGTTACCTACAAATAAATTAAAGATTTTATCTAAGTGGCATGCAATTTTTCACCAAAAGCCTTTTTTTAATCCAGTGTAAAAAGAACTTGAATATAGTAAAAAGAAGGTAAACATAAAAATAGATTATGTGAGTACTGGAAGAAACTTAGCAAATTCTGTTATTTCACTTGCAGTAAAAATCACACATTTCTTTCCAGAAGACCTTTGATATAATATGTCCATAAGACATAACTATAATTTGTTACAGAAGTGCAGAATGTGTTATAACCTTTATTGTCTTAAATTATTTGAAAAGAATGTCTAAAGGAAACTTTAGATAAAAATATATATATTTCTATTTCATGAAAATTGTTTACCAGTCTGTCATAAAGTACTCAAAGCCATATGGGCAGAGCTGTATACACGCTATCTGTATACATGCTTCATGCAATCAGCTTATGTCAGTCATTCATCATAGTTGATCAAAGCATCAAGTGGAAAATGCTTTTAATGGAATATGGAATATGGTCTTATTATTATTTAAGTTGTTGTTACAGATTGATAGCTTCAGAAGATAAAATTGGAAATCCATAAAATTCATATCTCAGCTTACCAGTTTTGCCCCAACTGGGTCATTGTCATTTTTGGGGGAAAGTGGGTGTCTGAGCTTGGTAGGTGACTTCTTTGCATTTGACTGGATGTCGATGCTTCTTAGTGCAGCACTAGCCTCCTCTTGCTTTCGTTTTCTCGCATTTTTTTTCTCAAGAAGTCTCTACAAAGAATAGATGCAAACTCACGTCAGAGAGGAATATAAACAAACTTCCAAATGAATATGCAAAAGCAGCATATATATATATATGCTTGATTTTCAATATTTTGCTCGCGATGAGAACAGGTTAACAGGTTAAAATTTTCACAGCCTAAATACTAGAAATATATATATATATATATAGTCATCATAAAATCATACGATGTCTCAATCTAAAGAAAAGTTTAAAAAGAAACAATTTGAAGATTAGATGAACTGGTTATCATATTAAACAGCAAGGGGGTTTTGTGAACTCTATAATTCAAAGATATACTATGAATGTAGATTTAGAATGCAGTTTTTAAAGTTACAGCATCAATAACTAGAACTAAAAGGCTTCAAGCAAACAAAATTAGAATTAATACAACAAATTTAAGAAAACTTTGTAATGAAGATCCTTAACAAAATTAGTTGTTTGTTACTAGTATTCTTTAGAAAATCAAAAAAGTATTTAGTTAGTTATCTAAGAATTAATTTTCTACCCTTTGAGCCCACTGTGATTTATAGCTCACATCCTCCCTTCCGTGTACCAGCCAAAGATTTTCTTCACTCATCTTTAATTTTTCTTCCTAGATAGTAAAATGTATTTTTTTGGTATGTTTAATTTTCAAATATTTTTGGTATAAAAAAGTAACGACAGCTCCGTCCCAACATCGCTCTGGTTTTGAGAATGCTAAAGGATGTTTCATTTCCGACTGGAGGCTAAAATAACGTATTATGGCTTTTGCAAACCCGAGATTTTAACAAAAATCCACTCAAAAAAACAAACAAAAACTCTAATTATTTTCCCTTCATACATCTAGAGCTAAAAATGTTATCCAAATATAAAAAAGGTGCAATGCACTGGGTTGAACAACAGCACGGTCAAACTTAGGCCGTCTGGTAGTTTCTAAGATAAAATAGCTTGATCAAGACTCATTCAGTGATCTGTGGACCAAGTAGATTGTACCATAGACAGATAATTGTCATATTTACAACTTACCTGAGTAAAATCGTCCATTTTAGTCAGATTTCCCTCCGAATACTTTAAGATATCTCCAACACACGCGCCTCTGATCAAGTTCGTTTGAGTATTGAGCACAACAGTTTCACATTCAAATTGAATTTCAGCGGCTTTGAATTTCGCGTTGATTGATTGGTCAGATTCGAACATTCCGCCGCGCTGATTGGTTGCTTGTTAGGCTGGGCACACGGTCATGCAGTGATCGCCGACATGCGCTGAATTCTTGGCCCAAAGCCCAAAAAAACCAGCGAATTTCATCCATATAATTTCATGAAAATCAAGGCCGAACCAAATTTTTTCTTTATAGTTTTCAAAAATTTTAAAAATTCTTTGCTTTAATGAAACATGTCTACAGTTCATACAGCCTCAGTTCAGTTCAGTTCATATATTAATACATTAATCTTTATTCATAACAAATTATGGAATAAAAGTTTGGAAAAACATACCATGTAACTGTTACTTCCAAAAAAGCCTTTTGACGTCTTTTTAAACAATTGATATAAAATCCAAATGATCTACCACTCCTTTCCCCTTTCTATTTATGAAATTGATTCAATTTATTATTATATTTTTAATTTTTATTCTTATCATTATTATTATTCTGATCATAAAAATGTTTTCTTAAACATTTCAGTATAAATGTTTATTAATTGAACTTGATCCTAAACACGTCATAGGGAACATGTGGCTCTTTCCGTACGTCCTTCGGCAATATTCTGTTAATTCGATGGATGTTGTTCTTCTTGTTTGTGTTGTGTGTGACTCTTCTTCTGTGAACATTTTTATCTTTAGAAGTATTTGGTAGAGCCATTGATTGTATCTTGGTGCTTTGTCGAGGAATAATTGTGGCAATGGAGGTTTCATTTATGAATTTATATAAGTCACATTTTTAATTCATATCATAAAATGAAACAGCAAATGTCAGAGCAGACGGTACTGTGGGAACGAAATTCATAGTGGGAGGGGAGGATGTTGGCGACTGCCCATTGTATTTATACCCATTTAGTACACTGTTATATATTATATAGGATATTTAAATTAATACGATGTCTTCGGCTCCGCGAACAAAACGATAGAGATTCTGATTCTGTTATTTTGCACCTGTAAATGGATTTTTTTTCATTTCTGAAAACTTTACATACTCCCAGCAGAAATTATATGTTGATACTCAGCATTTTCCTCAACAGTTTCTTTGCATTTTCGTATATTTGAATGTTTTTATAGCTCACTTTAAAAGACGTGGCAAGTGATTCACAGCTCGAATTTCAAAAACAAACAACCATGTCTTATAATGTATATACCACATCAAGTTAATTCAAAAAATATTTTACAGGTATTTTCGTAACAGATTTCTTTATTTCGCAGGCTGGACTTATTTTCTATTTAACTAAGCATGTAAAATTACACCAAAAAACAAAGTTCTCGTTTTTAAACTTGCATAGTTAAAAAGTTGTAGTGCGATAGCTCAGGTGAGGATCCAGACTATTGCGATTGATGCTCGAGCGCAAGTCAGATTTGGTAGATTTTAGGATACTTAAGCCACGTGAATTTCTCCCATATAATTCCAATTTCTTTGATTAAGACCTTTCCATTCTTGTTGCTTACAACGAAAAATAAATCTCTTTTTCTTACCGTCAAACGATTTTACCAACCAGCGAAAACTATTTTCTATAAAAACACATAAAAACATAAAAACATGAAGGCTTGATTCTAAGAACGGCGTAAAAACCTGCCAAGTATCAGTCGCAAAATTAGCAAAAAAACAATATATTTTTGAAAGATTTTCTCTATCGATAACAAAGCAGAACATATTTTATCAGCTAATAAACTTTGATACTGAAAATGACTTGCAAAGCTGTTATTTCGTTACTCTGGGTTCCAGGGCGTCAAGAGTCAGGGGGCGGCACCGCGGAGCAGGGGGGTGGGCCCGCAGTGCCTGGGGCGTTGAGGAAATAGGACGTTGTGGGTGAGTGCGGAGGTGGAGTAGTCTTAGAAACTTAACAATTTAAACTGTGTAAATTTAGGAAACTAATGTTGGAATAGGAAAGCATTTGGAACACCCGAGATTAAAAAAAAATTAAGGTGGTTATCTAGGTTTTTTCACTTTAAAATAAGTTTTTCAAATATTTTGAGCTTTAGGTTGCAGAAGGTCTAAAAACTATTGGACTCTACTCTGACACTTACAGTTCGCCATTTTTTACTTTTATTTGGCTACAAAAGCACTTTTTCTATAGGTACATCAAAGTAAATTTCCTTAGCAACCTTGTTATTTTTGGTTGCTATGGGGTTTTTTTTACTGTTGAGCCCCGAATTTTCGTTTTTAACCACGCAAATTTTGTCCTCCCATTTATTGAACTGAATTAAATTGGTGTTCTGTAATAGCTTTTACATGAAGTAGCAGGGAATATTTGGAGAGAGCTGAGGTGGCATGAAAACTTGTAGAATCGGTCGACAAATTAGAATGAAGATATAAATTTAATATTACCGATATTATTAAGTATGGTTGGAAGTAAAATACATCGAAGTACCGTGAAGAGCGAAGAACATTTACTGGAAATAGAGAGCAGAAATAATCAAGGAAGAAGAAGATGAGAGCAGGGATGAAACTAGGACATTTGACGTAGGCCCATGCCTATCCACGTACTTCGACCCCAGATAAACACTTGAGAAAGTAAACCGATATTCCAAAAGATCTCAAGACATTGTCCAATTCTTGAAAAAGATTAAAGCAAAGTTATAACAAGAAAAAGAGCAAGATCACTTGGATTAGAGTCTGTAACAATTAATAAAACCAAAGTTTGTTTCTGAACAATAATGTCATCAAGACGCACATGGCTTTAATCTCACAAGAGTCAATAAGTTACAGCATATGCTATCTCAAACTGCAATCTTTGGATCTTGTAAAAGCTCCAAAGGCAAGCTTATTATGTTAAAAGTTGATGGCAAGCAAGTTGGTTTGGATGAACCCCTTGTCCTTAAATGTACCAATCCATTGCCAAGGTAGTACTCTTTTTCATACAAGCCCAAGAATGTAAAATGCCATTTGAAAATCATCGAAAGTAAATGTCAGGTGTGTTTAAGCTGGTATTGAGACTGGTCTTTGGCTGACAAATATGCTAAAGCTTTGCACTGCTTTTAACCTTCCATTTCCACTTCCTCGTGCAACATATAATGACTTGGAGAAAAAGTGTGAGTGTTGTTGTTACTCAAATGAGGCTGATGCTTCACACCAAAAGGCGACACTTAATCTCAAGAACATTATAAAGAATAAAGCAAAAATAAAAAAGGACAAGATTACATGGCTGGTAGATTCAGCATCCACAATGTTCTCTAGACTGTCTTTACGAAAACAGAAAACAGAAAGAAGACCCAAAAGAACAAAATGACGTCAACTGATGATAATGGCATTACATTTGTCAATTTGTCAATGAACACAATATACCTCTGGTTGTGGAACATGACAAAAAAGAATCAAATAGTAGGACAGCCTGTTTTAATTTGTCCTCTGAGAAAGGAGGCACAATCTGATGCATACTGGCTATGATAAAAAGTTCTTTTCTATCATTATGATAACATTTGTTGTAAAAAAGTTGTTTATAAACTTTCAAAGCCATTTTCGAATATTAGCCACCTTTGACTTTAAGAAAGGATATCTCTAAAACTATGTGAGATATTTAGCTCAAACTTTTTGTGATACATTATTTTCAGGTTGTTTTTAGAATAAGCAGATAGAATTTTGATATCACTTGTAATCCATAATTTACCTGGAAAAAGGGCTATTTTGGGGTTTCCATGGCAACCATTGCCTGGAGGAGAAATCCCTCTGCTCATTCAAGTAACATCAACTTGGCAAGTTGTTTGGTATCTTTATGGTTAAATTACATCAAACTGTTTGTCTCAAATCTTTTCTCAAAGTGAAAATAGTGTTCCGACAAAGTGGTCTGTAAAATACAGACCGGTCGAATGATTTGAATTTTTTTTTGGAAAATTTCTTTCCAAGTTATTAATGAATATTTTTTGTAAGTTTCAGATCTGTGAGTCCTGTCATTGTTGAAATAATTACATTTATGTCTAGGAGACATGATTTGTGATCAAAACCTAGATAACCACCTTAAGACATGGAACTCTTTCTGGCTCTTACAGTAGTGTCCCGCATATAAGAAACAAAATTTTAGGAAACACAGACACTGATTTTAAAAAAAGTAACCTCTTTGATAAGAAACTGGTGAAGGTCTGAAAACATGCTTGTTTCTTATTCAAAAATTTTCATATAACCTAATCATTTGAAAACAGAACAAAACATTAATTATTCTAAACTTACTATTTTGTCAGTTATTTTGATAAAAGGATAAGTGAGGGTTTACAATCATTGACCATAAGAACTGTTTGTTTTCAGCTTTCCAGATTAATCAAACTGAGCCTGGTCAAATGAAAAATAATTTTGAAGGCAAAATAAGCAAAAAACACTTTTTTGGAATAATTTTAGCTTTTCCTACGAGTGAAAAATTACAAATACAACTCAAAATATTATGGTACTTTTATCACAATCATTGAGATGGTGTCTGAGTAGATGATCAATAGTATAACATGGTTTTTTGTATAAGAAACATTCTCCTGATTTTGAGTGTATATCTCATTTTATAAGAAACGCATCAGACCTGAAATCAAAAAAGTTGTTTCTTATATGCGGGACACTTACGTATGAAGAAAAGAGTATGAAACTTTTACAATTCTTATCATAATAAAGGCTTGTAGGCCATAATGACCTATTGTCAGCATAACCATAAATACAAGTTGACAGCAAATAACTAACACAAAAGTGCGAATAAGAAACGATATCTTAAGTTATGCAAGTAATTATGCATATAGGGCTCTTCCCAAACAATTCCAGTTATTATAAAGCCAGCGATTGATATTAGCAATTTAGCTATTGATATTACACTGACCTTATTCTCTTGGCTCAACAGTTAAAAAAGCATTGCATAAAAGCCTGAGATCTTGCTGTCTTATACATCAATGCAAAAGCTACAACTAGAATAAAACAAAAAAAATTCAAATAGAATTTTCAATCAAGCAGAAAATACAAAACAGCTCTTCGCGGGCAAATTTAGCAGGACTTCTTTATCGACGAGGTAGCCATTAAAAAGACAATGAGTTATGAGCAA